AGGAAAGAGGTTCTCCCAGGACTGGAATCTGCTCGTCAGCCCAGAACAGAGGAAGCGGTGACGGAGGCTGTTGCAAACCCAGACGTGTTGCAACGCTGCCATGGCCCCTGACGGGCGAGGAAGTGATTCAGGGCCACGCTCAGCTCTTTGGTGGTCAAAGAACGGGGGCGTTCAAAGCACGCCGTGGGCCCTAGTTTTAATCTGGCCTCGAGGGCAGAAACTGAGCCAGGAGTGCAAAGCAACAGTGATCCGTCGATCGATCCGGCCAGGCTTGGAAGTGACCAGGTGGAGAGCCCAAAGTCGTGTTTTGTGGGCTGGCGTCTCCCTGTAAATGTGTCCCACAGCAGCCTCTAGAAACCCGAAGGGCTCACAGGGCCTCTGTCTGGCCTCCGTTCTGCGGGGCGATGCTATTGTTCTCGGAGTTCTCGGCATCCTGTGTTTCTTTACACTGCAGCCTTCAGAAACAATGACGCTTCCTGCGTGTCCAGGGTCCTCGGACAATGCAGGGTACAGAGTAAGCAAGGGGAGGAAGAGAAACCTTCCCCCGCTTTAGCTCCAGAGAGTTCCCTGGTGGGGACCGAACAGCAGCTGAGGCAAAACCGCCGTGGGATCTGTCTTGGAGGGTCCATCCCTCATTGGAAGCACATGTCCGGTGCATGCGGAAATGCCCCCCCCCCACTAAAAGGCATCCCTGTGGTGGAGGCACCAGAAAGCAGACGATACTGCAGACGGTCCAGCTGTCTAGCGATGATGGGTTGTGTAGTAGGATACCTCTTGAGGACACTGGGTTGGAGGAGGCTGCCGCAGTCGATTCTGGACTGAATGGAACATTTCATGTACTCAAGAGGCACATCATTTGATCTCCTCGCTTGATGGCTCGGACGATGGGGTGTGTGCTCAGTTCCTCTGAGCATGTGCAGAGTGCAGTTCAGCACCACAGAGGAACTGTCAACAGCCGCCCTTGTGTCCATGTCAGAGCAGCGTTGGAGGCAGAGGCTTTGGGAAGCCTAAGCCCTTCCTAGAACCCAGAGCAATTTCATCCCTTACATTACCTCCTGATGAACCAAGCTGAGCTTTGCTCCCAAGGAAAGCAATGAGACTTATGCCCCAATTAGCCTGCCCCTTCGTTTCGCCCGTGTGCAAGGTTCACCATGGCCGTGCGCTGGCTGCAGATCATCCTCATCATCTTATTTCCACTGCATTTCTGTACCACCTGCAGCTGATGCTCTCTGGGTTTTTGAGCATCAGCTACAGGGCAGCATAGAAATGCAATGAAAATAATTGTCACCCATCCAGATTTCAGCCAGGCCTGACCCTGTTTAGCTCCCAAGATTGGGCAGGATCAGGCACTTCAGGCTCCATGGAAGCTCTATCCTGATGGGGCTTGTAGTCCAACCCGACAGGAGAGCGACAGACTGGCAAGGGCCAGTCAAGGACAAAGGAGGGCTGGCTTACAAGAAACAGCCACTGCTGCTCGCGAGCAAGCGAGCTTGTCTGCCAGAGAGGGATGGGGTGCGATTGTGTGGCGATTTTAATTGAATTTCCTGGCCGGGTTCCTGCAGAGAGGCAGGAAGGCAGCAGGGGGGCGGGGGGGGGTGCAGGGAACCTGCCCAAGCGTGATTGTTCTGGGGTTCTGGACAGGCCGTTCCCTTCCTGATCAAGGCAGCAGTGGGTGGCAGCCACTTCCAAGCATTGCTTCCCAACGTTGCCGGGTCTCCTCCGGTCGGAAGGACCCGGTGGGTTTCTCCCGTGTCCCAGCGGGCTCGCGGCATCGCCCCCTCCCCTTCCGCCCCCGGGGTGCAAGTTCAGCATCCGTGGCATGTTCAGGATAAACTGCCTCGCCTCCACACTGCGCCATAACAAACAGCAACTACCCTCGGCCCTAATCTCCCTCGGCCTATTTATAGCCGCAAATGGATTAGCTAAGGGGCTATTTTGGGAGGCAGCGAAGGCCCAGCCGCTGGAGACAGCAGGCCTGATCTAATTCAGCAAACATTTTTTCCATGAAAAACGAAAATCCCCACCAGGGGCTGCAGGCGCATTCCGATCCCACTCCCCTCTCCTGCTTCCGCTCCTGCCCCGAAGCCGGTGCCGGAACGCCACGCTGTTCAGCGCTGTTCGTGGAGGGGCGGGCGCACCCTGCCCGGCGAGAGGTTGCTCCGCGACAGATCTCCCCGGCCGAGTGCCACTGCGCCCGCCGCCCCGGGCAGGATGAGCGGAGGGGCAGCCGTGGGGGGGCACAGGCCATGGGGCCGTCTGCGGGGCTGCAGTTGCTCTGCTCCTGTGCCTCTTCCCTCCTGCGCTTCAGCTGCTCCTGTTGGGTCTCCCCCAGGTCACTCTCACGATGACCCTGTGAGGTAGGCGAGGCCAGGAAAATGCTCACTGGCTCAGAGCCACCCGGGGAGCTTCACAGCTGAGCAAGAATTCGGATCGGGGCTAAGCAACGCGTGCGCCGAAGTCGGCCTACAGTTCCCAGCAGCCTTCAGCAGACTGGGGATGATGGGGTTGTAGGCCAGAGCACCTGGAGGGTCCAATCAGATTTCAGTCCTGTAACCCAGGCTTTCTCAGTTCGATGCCCCACACATGTTTGGTCCCAGCAGTCTCAGCCAGCGTGGAATTATGGGAGATGTAGTGCAAAGCCAATCTGCTGGCCACTTTTGGCACGTCTTTCATGGGCCACAGGCTTTCCAAGAAGGTGCTTGCAACATTCTGAGCCTGTTTGAGAGGGGAGGGAAATCGGCATCTCCCCCTTGGTATGAACCACTAAGCTGCTATTATGGGAGCACCCAAGGGCTGCCAGCTTGTCCCCAGATGTTCTTGAACCCTTTGCAGTCTCTTCCCGGGAGGACACAGTTACGAGTCTGGCCAAAGCAAAGATGCCAGCGGCTGCCAAATGATGCCCAGCTGTGGTCAATGTAGAATCTCCAGGAAAAGCAGGCACATTCCTAATTCTCTGCCAAAAAACAGTAGTTTCTGCAGCTTGCAAACATCTGCACATGAATGCCCCTCGTAGGAGGGGCAAAGAGTTGTGGGGACACAAGCATTCCCCACACACAGAGAAACATGCTCAGAATCTTAGCTCTGTGCCTCCTTGGCACAGTCTATTTCTGAGGTGTCTCTGCACAGTTTATCCAATTTTTAAATCCATGAGGACTAGCACCTTTCTTATTTATGAAGCACGGTAGACTGGAAACCATCAGAATGCTGACTTCGGTATCCATAGTGTCAAATGGCATTCCTGCATTGGACTGGAAATCAATACGCACTGTTGTGAATGATGGTTGACCAGACTACTGGTTTAAGATGGGAGGTTGGCGCCTGCTTTTCCATCCGGAATACCTAGATCGTGAATTATTTTCTGCAAGCCTTACTTTTCCCTTTAACCACAAGCCCACTTGCCCTTTCCCCTGACCCATCTTATTTTCACCCTGTTTTTGCAGCCATAAGGACTAGAACCTTGCCTTTTAAAACCAGCAAGCCGGAGGTGAACGAGAGAGGATGCTGCAGTCCGTCTGGCCCATTCTTCTCCTCTCCCTTTGTATCCAGGGCGCCTGCCGGGTCCGTCCGCTCTTCCTCCCTCACAAAGCCAGTGATTAAGCCAAGTTGTTCCAGAGGCATTCGCTCCCTGCCCGCACCCACCCCTCCCTCAGCTCTGTTAACCAGCCCAGCTGTATGCTAATCGAGAGCAAACACGGCTTGGTTCCCCTCTTCCTGCATTAAGTTGGCGCAAGAATCTATTGTTAACAAGGGCATTGCTTTCCCTCCCCACCGCCCACTGAATTCTTCTGCTGGGGGGGGGGGGGCAGAGAGAGAGAGAGAGAGAGAGAGAGAGAGAGA